AGAAGAGAAGTGGTCCAAGAACTGAGCCCTGAGGCACCCCAGTAGTTAGATGTTGCGACTTGGACACCTCACCTCTCTAAGATACTTTGAAGGACCTATCTGAGAGGTAAGACTCAAACCACTTGAGTGCGGTTCCTGAGATGCCCTTTGCCAATAGGGTTGACAGGAGGATCTGGTGGTTAACCATGTCAAAAGCAGCGGACAGATCCAGCAAGATAAGAATTGAAGATTTGGAATCCGCTCTTGCCAGTCTTAGGGCTTCAACAACTGAGAGCAGAGCGGTCTCGGTTGAATGACCACTTCTGAAACCAGCAGATGGAATAGGATCAAGCGGACAAGTAGTAGGATGATTAGAAAGGATGAGTTTGGAGACTTCTGCAAAAAAGGATGTGATTGAGTGTAATAACATTTAGAAATGCACAAGACAAACTACCAGTTTCAGACATTACAATGAATCTGCAATCTATTATAATGCAGTTGCACTTGGTTACAATTATTTATGAAAAGATAAATACAACACTTACTTTCTTATTTAAAAAAATGTCCTTAAATCTTAACGCAAACATAATACATAATGCTTTACAAAATGTCATGTACAAATCAAGTCATGCTACAAAAATGTTGAGACAAGATGTTTGCACTGAACTGCATGACAGATGATCTTTGATGCATTCATCTGTAATGTGCTGTGAGGATGTGCACTTTGACCTTGCTTCTTGTCCTTTAGGCAAATCTAATGGCCTTCTTCAGCAACTGAAGCATCTCAAGGCCAAATGAAAAGTGCGAGGATGGTAAAACTGTTGAATCACAGGAAATTCAAATGAAACTGAAAGTGAGCAGTCACCTTCCATAACATCCTGCCCTACATGTGATCTCTCATCTAACGGCCTGATGAATGTGAGTAGTATGGTTAATAGGAGAGTTGACTGAATCTAAGGTTGGGAATCTGACCTATAGGAGCAGATGGTGTTTCCCGCCCTCACCACCTGCTCAAGAGAAGCTTAGGATTTTCTGGAAACCATGTGAGGTCAGATGCTGTTTGTTTGGCATGTAGAGAGTCGACATGCTTGTAAGAATTCATTCAAACACTAGTAGCAACAACAAATTTCTTGTCTTATTAAGTTTACAGAAATACAAAGCGTCAATCCCAAACCGAATCACATGTATTCAGAATTTTCTTTGACTTCTTGTGTACCAATTTAGTAGTTAACTCTAAGTTGTAATGTGGCAGAAAGTCTTTGTATGTTGAATTATTGTTAGGAAGGAAAAAAATAGACCAAATATGTCATTATGATTCAAGCATGGTTGAATATGTTGAGCTAAGCTCGAGAACCAGATGAGTCAGATTCAGTGACGAATCATTCAGAATGGATTTGTGAATGTTTATTACAAGTTCAGACTCAAAAGAAAACAGTTTTAATTTTGAATGCATGAACACATCAAATAAACTAAAGTCTTTAAAACAAATTAAGATTTTCGTCGAGTAACGATTTAAACGACAGAGTTGTCCAGTATGATCTCACGAAATAAAATACATGATTTTGGCGACATAATTGCAAATCGATATTACGTGCAGCACGTACGGTATGGTAGCATTCCTGATATGAACTCTCCACTAGATGGCACTAAAATTGTTTAATTGTTGCCAAAACTGAGACTGTGGTGGCATTTGCGTTGGTTCAGCTTCTTTTTTGTTGCTTTTGTTGTCGCCACTACATAAAATTTTAAATAACAAAATTTTAGATGAAAAAAAAAAAACTAGAACACCTGAGCAACTGCATAGCAACGCCTTGGCAACCACTAACACCGTGGTGCTAGAATAGATTCCTTACAAATTGTAATCCATTACTGATTCCAAATTACATGACAAAAATTGTAGTTGGTAACGTAACGTAATCCATTGCATAACACATTGTAGGTAATAAAATCAGAATACTTTTAGATTACTTTTGGATTACTTTTTTCACATTGATTTAAATAGGATAATCTTCTACCATATTTATATAAAAATACAAAGAGTAAGAAATAAATTCCATTTGTTGTTATCAACAACATGAAGTTCATATTACATCAAAGTTTCCCAAACTGGGTTTGTGAAGGAACTGCAGGGAGTTTATGAGTTTAATGAAAAGCTAATAATTAATTAAATCATAAAAATTTGAAATTAAAACAAATAACCATAACCAACATAGGTGAACCATGAACATGCAAATGTGATACTTCAATATTAAAATATTTATTTTAAAATCTCAAAAAGACAAAAGCCTTCCAAAGTACTACAGTACATGGTAAAATAACCGACTGAGTGATAATTTAAATAAAAATGAATGTGTTCATCAGTAGTTGATGCAATGTTGAAACACTTCTTAATGAAAATGAAATGATATTTTCAAATCAAGTGGTTAAATGCTTTGTAGCCACCTGACTAAGACTTTCTGAGAGTATATAAGCAGTATCTATTTTAGAAAGGAAAATGAAAAGGAGGAATTAGGGAGAATCAATAAATCATGAATAAATTATTGCTATTGTGTAAAAAATATGTAACCATGTAATACATAAAAAGTAACTAGTCTGATAACGAGCATTTTAAAATGTAATTTAATCTAATTACAAGTATTTAATTTTTGGAATCTGATTACATAATCCAGATTACATGTAATCAGTTACTACCCAGCTCTGTAAATATTATCATGCATTAATGATTTTACAGCATGCACAAATTAAACTGAATGATTTTCGTGCTTGCTTTCATCTGGCACACATCCACTATCTGCAAAATAACGAAATGTAACAAAATGTTTGCTCCATTTTGAATCTTATTAGTACAATTGTCCAGATCCTTCATGCTGATCCTAAAACAAGCTCTGGCCTGGAATAATCCAACTGACATCATATTTGCAATATGTTTCTCATTGCTACTTCCATTTTTCAGACCCATTAAATGTTGAATTGCTCCCAGATGGTCTAAAAACCAGCTTTATGGGTTTATTTTTTTACTTTTATAACTTGGCATTTAAAAATGCACTTGAGACTCATTTTAAGATGTTGGCATATGGGTCTGTCATTGTCTCATATGTTCTGGTGACTTGGACCGAGCTGCTGAATCTATTTTATGCGAGCTAAAGGATGTTTAGTCAAATTTAGTAGCCTGTGTTGCAAGACTGAGTTATTTCCTGCTAATCAGTTTTGAGCATTTGTCTGTGTAGTCGTTGATTCACTGAGATGATGAATTGTTTGCAGTTTGTGTTTCTGGTGGGAAGAATTTGAATCTCATGGAACAGAAAACTAGAATCAGACTGCAGAGACTGAAACACTTCCCACAAAAAAAGGCCAGAGTATGTACTGAAAAAATGCAAACACACTGAGGATGAATAATGGATCAGAGACAGACTGAATTAGAGAGAGAGAGAGAGAGAGAGAACATGCATAATATACTGTTGGCAAGAAAGTGGCTGAATCACTCCAGTGGCTTTCAGTTGTAGCACCTGCAGTCAGAAATGGAGGGTTTGCGTCTTCCATCTGGAGAAAGAGAAAAAGAGAGAGCACTGGGAAGTGCTGGGATCAAAAGTAGGTAATTCTCCCTGAGACTCACATCTCTCACAGCACATCTCCGTCCAT